GTTTTGAGACGGACAAGTTCAGAGTTCAGAAGAGAAGCTGTTCTCTAAATATCCTTCAAAATGGCCGCCAAAGTTTGAATTGGGTCCGCAGTGAAAGCCCTCTGTTGAAACTAATCAGACATGACAATTCTCCTAGTTTGTTCCTCATTTTTGGTACCATGTACAGTAATTTAATATCGTCCTTCTGATAAATTCACCTGGCAATTTCATGCGAGAGTGACACAATTCTCTACCACAAAGACAACGACCACACGGAAACCAAATAGTTCTTAGGTATGTTAAATGAACATGGAGTGTCAATCCACTTCACTGACTACATGAGGGGAAGTGGCATGTCTGCGCTAGTTTTGGCTCATTGGAAAAGTGTGGATAACGCTGTTGAGTGTGTCAGCTTCATTCATAATCCCCTGCGGATTAACTTGCTTCAGGGACACACACAGCCTCATCATCCTGTTTACACACTCGTTGCTAGTTTTCACACCCTCTAAAAATACCATAGAGGAAATCAAGGCCGTAATTTGTGGTTTGGATTAAACTACATAGGAGAGAATCATTTGGCCTGGGGATATTTATGCAAGAGTGCAGTCTTTTGTGTTATTGTTGAACTTCTGGCAGCCAAATGTTTACGTATGTGTTACATAGTAAATAGTTGCTGCAATACAGAGGGCATCTAAAGTCTTAACGTCATTGATGCATTTTTTTGTGTGTTAACAGAACCTGAGAAGCTCGTCCGGCCGCCGTGAAGTCCTGCAGCCCTGCCTGTGAACTTCCACCAATGTGGCTCAAGAGGCCAGAAAGTGGATCACTGACAAAGATTCACTGAAAACCATAACATGAAACAACATGGAAATGTAAAATTGAAGAGTTATTTAAAAAAGAACAAAGAAGCAACATCTCTCAGTATGTCCGACGTAAAGGATCAGTTCGGTAGCTGTTGTATCATTTCGTCAGCCAAGGACACAAGCTACTGAACCTTTTTTTTTTTTTTTTATTCAACAAGGACCATGGTTATTTACTGCTGTCCCAGAATATATGATGTTCAGATACGTCAAGACACTCAGTTCTCCCTTTGTTGCTATTGTCAGACTCTTCTTTTGCCTGAGACTGAAACATTTGTTTTCTGGGAAATGGTCATTCCTGTTACATCTCACAGTTCAGATGGATGGCTCTCTGGGAAACCAGTGTCTTCTGGTTTATTATTTTGGAGAGACCAAAGACCAACCCTCATGCCTAGATAAAACTTTCAGCTCATACCTCCCTTTTTTTTTTTTTTTTTTCTCCAACTTAACTTAGTTGCACTGTTTATTTTAATACAGAGTATAGTATTTAGTTTACAATGTAAACTCTTTGGCTCTCCTTTGGAAGCACTGGCATTTTCATGTAAATGTACATGCCTCGTGACTTAATTGACTCCTTTTGTATGCTGACACGCCACAAAATAAGCGACAATTTTGCACAGTGGGGATACATTTTTTACGTTTGTTTGAATTTTTATGTTTTCAAGTCCTGATACTCTTCTTAATGGAGGTGATTTTTGCCGTAGAGTGCCTGTAGTGCTTGTTTTGCAAGCCTGACGCTGCTTCTCTTGCTATGTCTCTGGGATTGAATGCTTGAGGAGAGGCCCCACATTTACCTAATAAATCCACATATCATTTAAATATTTTCCTTTTCGCTGTTTGAATATACATTTATTAATATTTTTTTTTCAGTGTGTTTAGTTTCAGCACTACAGTACATGCTCATCATTTAGTTTGCTCCACTGGTAGGAAACTTAATTTTCATGTTTTATTTTCCTTGATTTCCTTTTGTCATTGCTTGCAACGCACAAATGTATGCACCTATATTTTTGTTATAACAATGCGTGCTGTTAATAATATCTTTTGTAAATATTAATGTACATACAGTATAACTGGAGATGGATGGGAGATGACTTGGAACTCTTGAGTCTTTTTAATGAAAACGTGTGTTTTGTACTAATGTGTTGGGACTGAATGGAAAGCACGATCTGTTGAGAAAGAAGCTGCCGCTTACCTCTCTCAGTAAACTTTTGTTAAGATGTTTGCTTGAGATACTTGAAATGTGGTTTTTGTAAAAACTGTTTTTATTTTCTTTATTTATTTTTTATGTAGTTTTGGATGACTGCTTGAAGCAACCTTGTTTGAATCTGAGGATTATGCATGAGAGGTCAGCATGTTGTACAGTTGATTTTTGCATTTGCTGGACCAATAAATTAACTCTGGAAAAATATACAGTGTTTGTTGCTTGCTTATTTTATTTGCCAACATAAATATTACATCTACGTCACTATCGCACCCATTAACAGCTTCACACGGAGTTGCATGCTGCTTATCAGGCTAATCGTGACTGGGCGCAGTCAAGATGTTGCTGTGAAATTGCATCACAGTGGATAATAAAAGAACCCTCGAGCACAAAATGAGGTTATTGTACTCGAGTTCCATGGCAGATAAAAAAAAATATTTTAAGGGTGAAGTGGTTGGTGAAAATATTGACTGATGATAGCTTCACAAAGTTATATTTAAAATAATTTTGGAATGAAAAATTAATCTACATTGAGTTTTTCAAATGACCCAAAGGAGCAGAAAGATGTGGCTGCTAACATGTTACGAAAGCACTGCAGGTATTAACACATCACAAGGCTCTAGATTTTCTTCAAACACATGGTTTGGGAGTTAGTTTAAATGTCATGTAGGCAACTGTTTCTAGGATTGTATCAAAATAAATTTTACTCATTACTTGTCCAGTGTATGATGAATTCACTTTGAAAACCTTCCATCTATCGACCTATTTGATCTATCCTTTCACCAGTAAACTCACTCAGGTGATTAAGTGTTTGAAAGCAAGAGCTTTTTCTGCCTAATGAGTCATATTCACAAATCCCTTTGATCACCCAGATGAACCAACAGTTTACCTAACAGTTTTCTTATTTTCATTATTGGATCCTAATTTAGACAAGGATAGTACCTTGTTTTGAGTAGCTTTTGATGAATACTATTAATGGAATTTACCTGTGTGTACGATAGATAGGTGCAAGGTATCAGTTATAATTTTCACCATGAAAACTGTTCTGCAAACAATTGTGTTTCAGGAGTGCAGCGTAGGCTAGCACCACCCCCTTACCTCTTCACTTCTTTGTCTGCCTTTCTCTCACTCGTGTCTCTCCTTGCTCCCATCTCTGCCTCCAATCTCGTTCTGACAAGCAAAAGAGGGAGAACAACTCTGAGGCGTTCATTATCAAATGGTGACAACACAGTCTTGTTCAATAGCAGACTTATTTGAAGTTTAGATAGATTAGATTAGATGTTAGGAGTAAGAGGTGTTATAAGAGGAAGTGTTCTCGGAAGAGTTGAGTTTTCAAGAGCTTCTTGAAGTTAGAGAGGGACGCCGGACGATGAGAACAGCCGGGACTGGGATTGGCTTGTGTGAAGGGATGGCAGAGCCAAACGGCGTTCATTGGAGGAGCGTAGTGGCCGAGAAGTAACGTAAACTTGTATTATGGAGTTTAGGTAGAAAGGTGCAGACCCAGTAGTCACTCTGTATGCAAGCATTAGTGACTTGAATCTGATTCTGGAGGTCATGGGTAGCCAGTGGAGGTCACACAGCAATGGAGTGACATGAGTCCTTTTGGGCTGATCAAAAACCAGACGCGCTGCTGTGTTCTGAAACATTTGGAAGGGTTTCACCGCATAAGCTGGAAGACCTGGAAGAATATTACTGATTGAAAATGTGTTTTTCCGCCGTTTTAACTCCAAAACCCGCTGATGTTGTTGCTCCGAGTCTAAGCGGGCGCCATATTGATTATTGCGCAGTACCTGCAAGCTGCCTGCCTGCTGTCTCTTTTTCTGCAGAGAGGAAACATGCCGCTTGAGAACATACAGTGTTTTTTGCCATTTTGTGGCCGATCTGTAGGATGAAATATAGACATGCAGAGTATCTACAGGCCTGTAAAGCATGGGAGTGCTTTTGGTGACAGGAATGTTGATGAATACTCCTGTTTTTATCAATATTTCAATGTTTTGTCATTTGGAAATTGGTTGTATGGACTGAAAGAGTGTATTAAAGATATCTATCAATAAAAGTCAGCATTTTAACAACAAATATTGCCAAAATATAGAAATTCGCCTGGTATATTTGAAAATGTTGTATGATAACTGTTAGTTTATTTTCATCAGATTTACGGTTACAATTGCATTCAAGGTGTATTAGAAGATATTCAGTTGAATTAAAAGCTTCCTCAGGATGGTTTTGATAGTTTATTGCATTAAAATAGAGCTTTTTTTACCAGGCGAGGATAAAAAATATCAGATTTTCTCTTTATTGCATCTCCATGTAGTCTGTAAAAGTAAAATAAATATATTAATACACAATGGATTTATATTCCTTAGCTTCTGACTTTTCAAAGGAGACGTCTATGAAGATTCTCAGTCATCCAGGTCATAGTTATCCAACGAAGATTAAAATCAAGGGCACTGGACTTGGTTGAAGTCCAGTTGCCCTTGATTTTAACCTTCGTTGGATTTCAAAGGAGACCAGAATTATGCATCTAGGCCAAATGGTTCAGGAGTTATTCCTGATTCATTTGGGTATGTAATTTTAGGCGTTTAGGCGTTTTCTGGAAAAAGGGGCCTGTTTTCAACAGGCTAGGAGGGTATTGCAATAGTCGAGGTGAGAAACCATGGCACCACCAACACTCTGCAACTGGATATTGGACTTCCTCACAAACAGACCCCAGTCAGTTCAGATTGGCGGACTCACTTCCTCCACTTTAGTGCTCAACACCGGAGCCCCCCCAAGGCTGTGTGCTCAGCCCCCTCCTGCTCTCGCTGTACACCCACTACTGCATCCCCCGACATGGAGAGAACTCTATTGTGAAGTTTGCGGATGACACCACCATCATTGGCCGGATTTCAAACAACGATGAGACTTCATATCGGCAGGAAATTCATAATCTTGCAGAGTGGTGCTCAGAGAACAACCTGCTCACCATCAGCAAAACCAAGGAGCTGATCATTGATTTCAGGAAGAAGGAGATAACATCACAAACCGGCATGGGATGTGCACGGCCCAGAACCAGAGGGCTCTGCAGCAGGTGATTAAAACTGCTCAGAAGATTGGTACCCATCTCACGAACATCAGTGATATTGGTGAGTTGAGCCCGAAGGATACTAAAGGACAGTACCACCCAGCCACAGCCTGTTCACCCTGCTGATTTCTGGGAAGAGATATAGAAGTTTCTGCTGCTGCACCACCAGACTGCAGAGCAGCTTTCCCCCCCAAGCTATCAGACTCTTAAACTCTAAAGCTAGTGACCTACACATTATTACGTTGACTTCTCACAAAGTATTTTATAGTATTTTTAAACTACAAATATTTTGATACAAAATATGAAGCCAATTACATCAACCCTATCAAATACAAAGTACAAAATCCTATTTTGTATTTGGAACATGTACTGTAAATACATGTATCATAAGTAATGCCCATCCCTGCATTTAGCCCTCAGGCTGAATTGTAACAACTTTGGGATTCCTTCATTTTTCATATAGCAAATTAAAGAAATTTGTCCACACACACTAAAATGTATTAAATTCAGCCTCAGCTGTACCTTGTGCTTAGTGTTCATTATCAAATGTTTGCATGCTAACACACTAAACTAAACCAGTGAACATGGTAAACATTAGCCTACTGCTAAACACGTTGGCATTGTCGTTGTGAACATGTTAGCATGCAGATGTTAGCATTTAGCTCAAAGCCCTACTGTACCTAAACACAGTCCCCTCCAAAAGTATTGGAACGGTAAGGCAAATTCCGTTGTTTTTGTTGTTCACTGAAGACATTTGGGTTTAAGATCAAAAGATGAGTATGAGACAAGAGTTCAGAATTTCAGTTTTTATTTCTTGGTATTCACATCTGGATGTGTTAAACAACTTAGGACATATCACTGTTTGTATTAGACCACAGCATTCTTAGGTGAG